TACTACGACTACTACCACCACTACTCGGACTGTGACCATGGATTGTGTGCGACTGTGGTACCCGTTACAGTTGCTGTGACACACTGTTACTTTGGATGCGAATAGATTTTTGATCCATCACCTGCAATGCTGCGTCCAAGTTTTCTATATATGTGAGTGTTCGTGTGCGTGAGAGCGGGAGTGCGTGTTTGTTCTCCTGTGTTTTTGCGAAGGCGAAGCATCCTGCACGATCCAGAATTTAGAGACAGTTCGGTTTTCGGTGCGGCAGGGCATGTGAGATGTCTCGGATATTTTCTAATGGCAGTGTGTCAGGCGCGACTATCGCATTCGCTCCGACCCATGCCTCGAGGCCTGCAGGGGTCATATTATATCACACTCTATTACATGATACTATGCTCTACTCTATTCCATTCTATGTTATTCTGTTCTATTGCGTTCTATTCTGTCTATTCTGTTCTGTTCTATTCTATGTTGAATTCCGTTCTACTCTATTATACTCTAGCTTGCTGTCGAGCCAAGACCATGAAGAGCGGCGCTGCCCAGTCTTGCAGTCATGGTTTGGTGGTCTAAGCCGTTCTTGCTATAAAAAGTATGAGTGAATGGACACATAAATGAATCAAGAGGTAGATCTTCAAATGAGCAAATAAGTGTTTACATGTATATATTGAAATGGATAATATGTGCACAAACAAACAAATAATGGGCAAACCAATAATAATCATGATAATAATAATTGATAGCAATTAATAATAACAATAAATAATAATAACTAACAATAATAATGATAATAAGTAAGCGTAACCATACTGATAGATATTACATGTAACTGCGTCTGGTGTTGCTAATTAGTGAAGTGAGGGAAATTGCGGGAGAACTGCTGCACCTACTGCAAATTCCCAGCCCATTCTGCATGCCTCATTTTTCGGACGGCTCTTCTCTGTCTTGCCCCAAGAATTCTCAGGCACTGTGTGAAGGAGCAGTCGTTGGCCAAAACCTATAGGAGCATCGCCACAGTGCTGTTCTTGCATCTCCTAGCCCTTCCTTGTGCAGGAGGGCATCCCTTGTTCAGTGTAGTTTAGTACCTGCAATGCTGCGAAGGTTTGGAGAAGTACCTTCGGTTGATTTCAATTTCTTAGCTCGTCGGTCGCTGGTTGGAGGTGCAGGACTCCTCTTCAAAATGGAGACCGTGCCACATCTACGAGAGTCTCGGCCACATAAGCGCGAAAGAGTGCTCGATGCAGACGTGTCCTTACGTGGCGTGACAGGAATCAGCGCCCTGCCTTGTTCCACAAAGTCCATACGCTAAACCGAGGAATTACAAGGATCAGCACATCGTCATCTGGTATGGCGGTAACGAGTCGGCACCTAAGAGCCTGGCAGGCGAAGTCTCGCAAGCATTGGCACGCCGGCGCAGTGATGGTGAAAACCGAGGTACGAGGGTCTTGGGGGCAAGCCATACAGGCTTAAGGGCATCAGCCTGGCTCTCAAAGATTCGCAAGATGTACTTAGAATTCCTCATAGCTCTCGATGTTGGGAATTCCAAGGCCCAGAAGCCATCTTCAAGGGTCAGCCTGGCCAGCTGCTGGATTCGGATGGAGAGTTCCTTGGGTGCACACGGGAGTCCGTTTGCGCGGCTCAGCATGAGTCGCAGGATTTGTAGCCCATCAAACGAGATAGGCTTTTTGGAAGGCACCCTCAGCTTGCGCCTTCTCAGGCGAATTCCAACCAGAAAGAGGCCAATGCGCTGACGCGACGGGTGCGAGCGGATGCGTGCAACACGCTGTCTGCAACATGTCTGCCACGTGGTGCGCGGGGTGAAGCGCCGGTGGTCAGTGAAGGGGCCTTCTCGTTGTACTGTACAGCTAAATTCACGTTTGCACTTGCGGCGTCACAAGACGCGGAGTGTGCCACGAGTGTGGGTTGCACCTGGCTGTGCGTCGCAAAGTATTTGCAACACGAGGACTCCCATGCTATCAGAGCACATGATGATTGGTTCCCAATTACCATCGGCTACTGTTACTTGTTACTTGCAGCTAGCTAAATTATATACTGGTGCAGCGGTGTCTCGGTATATGCTGGCAGGGGTGATTTTGTAACACGAAGGCTCAGAAAATTGAACGCTTCCAGCGCAGGTGGACTTCTGGTCCTCAAGATGCACAGACTGCCCAGGCGCCCTCATCGCAATGTTTTGAGGTTGCAGGACTTGCACCACCCCATATAAGCCTAATGTATTTGGAGGGGGAAGTACATATCTGGCTGTTCCTATAGGTTCAGTAGGGATCCCGGTAGATGTATTTGTTGGAACAATCCAGCTGAGCTAATGTGGGCGGTGCTTGTGTTAGAGACTTCAAGCAGCGACCAGTACATTGGGGCTTGTCGGGGTTGGCGGGCGTAGGGCATCGTAGGGCGCCGGTCGATCCGCGTGCTTTTATCAGTCACCGCCTTGTGGCCACGCTTCTGTTGCGAAAGCAGACCTTTGACAAAGTCACTAGCAGCTAGCATAAAGTGTGGAATTGTGCTGCAGGAGTATCGGCAGCAGCACGAGATGAAGGCTTGCATGGATGTGCCGCCTCATCGTTTGTTCCGTGCCCTCTTTTGCAAAGGGGCTCAGCAGATCTTTTCCCAGTCCCTATCACGCTATCTAGGAAATATAGGCGTTCCACACGAGAACAGCGAAGCCCGAGCCCAATTCGAGTTTCAATAATTCTGCTTGAATCTCAGTCATGGAAGACCTAATCATGCGCCGGCCCCGACAGCGTGTGATGCGTCTGATATCGACGGTGTGAATGCGCATCGCAAGCCGGCTTGGAGGTGATCAGCACATTCAGCGGCAATGTGCCGACTCCAATTCGGGACTTCACTGTCCGATCCTCAAGAAGAAGCAGACTTCCAGTCTTCAGTTTCGCGTTTGTGAGTGTTCTGCCGTGATCTCAGACTGCCAGTGAGCGTTGACACATCAGGCTGCTTGAGAGGGATTGGGCTTCAGGTGCACAACTGTGCGAGATTGCTAGTGCACGAAGTCTGCTGTGCATGCTAGCAAGCTGAGCTTTCCATCGCATTTGAGCTACTTATTTGGATTGTTGCAATCAGCTTACGCGTCATAATTTCTTTTCGCTGGACACATTTCAACCGGTTTGAAGCACAACATGTCAAGCCTGCGCCAGGCTGTCAAGAGCAGACATGTCAAGCAGATTAACAACCACAATGATGCAAACTAGAGCAACGCTTTCCAACACTTATCATTGGCGCTTCAATGTGCTAAGGCGAGCATTTTCACAATCGCTTAGTGGACACGATATGGACCTCTGGGTCACACTTCTTTATACTCGTGTCATATACCCATTCATGCCCACTACGCAGGGCTGACTTAGATCTCGATCTATCTATCTATCCATCTATCTATCTATCTGTCTCTCTATCTATCTACCTATCTATCTATTCAGGCATACCTACACACGTACATCCGTATGTGCTTACGTAAATATATACGTACTTACATAGTGCCACACTCAGCAGCCGATGCAGTTCGACTCCACGGCAGGCTGCCGCCTTGCCGGCCAAAGTGTTGCAGGAGATCCAGGAAGCGAAGTTCCAGCAGCCCACACCGATTCAGGTGGCACATAGTAGAGTTTCCTTTTAGGCTTCGCTTGAAATAGTCGCTGGAAGGGGCATGAGGAGCTTTTCGGGATCAAAGTTGGAGCCTTTTTAAAGGTTCGGGGAAGACGGGATGGCACGCGCTTCGAGGCACACAGCCACCCGATGGTTTTGCGGGCAGCTTGCAAGCGTTGCAGAGGTCTGCCGAAAGCTGTTGATTCCAACTTACGGATACAGATGAACCCAGACATGCACAGCCAAGAGCTAGCTTCAGCTGAGAGTGGCCGTAGATGCCAAACATGGGTCGAAGAGCCTGTCGGGACTTGAGGGGTAATTAATTGCAGAGGGAGAGCCTTTGAGTGTTCCAGGCGCAGTGCTGGCCCATCCTCAGTGCTGGTCATGACCTCATTGGCATCGCCAAGAGTGGGAGTGGCAAGACCCTCGCGTGGGGACCCAAGCCGCTGGATACTCCCTACTGTCTGACTGCCCCTTCACACGCATGTAAGGGAAATCCGTGCTCTACACAGACTCGCCAGAGAGCTTGTCTAGCATGTCAGTCGAAGCTTTGGCTTTGCAGCTGTGATCTTCCGCTACGCCAGCTGCCTGTCCATCCATGGACTGCTTGCCAGAAAGGCCCCCAGGGCGCATCATCAAGCAGATCCCACATGTTGAGGAGGCCATCCAGAGGTTGCAAGAGCTCCAGAACACCGACGAGGTGGAAGCCGCGCAGTCCCTGTTGGTCCGCATGATTAGCATCGATGAGGCAAGCTTCTGCAGTGTGTTTCCTTTTGCCCAGCCCCAAACGCTACAAACTCCAGATATCATGGGCCGAACCTTGCTCCACTATGCAGCTGCTCTCGGGAAACTGAGTGCGCTCTCGCTCCTCTTATCATGCGATGCAGTGGACACCAATGCCCGCGATGATGCGGGCGACACCCCATTGCACCTTGCCGCGGGTAATGGGGAGCGGGGCACCTGCGAGCTGCTGTTGGGACATTCACGGGTGGATCGGACGGTGCAAGATGATTTGGGGAGGACTGCGCTGGATGTTGCCCACTCGGCAGCAGCCCACTATTTTGCGACCGAGGCCGTGCACGCCCTGGCCAGAAAAGCAATAGCCACTTGAGCATGACTTTTAAATGCAACAGTCGCTACCACTGCGGACATCACAGAGAGCATGACGCCACTGTCTGCTTCCACGCGAGGTTTCACCTGTCCACAGTTTTCGGGTGCGGCTGCATGCATGCACCTCCGACTTAATTGTAAAGGCCGGGCTGCCAAATCTTTGTTGGTGCCCAGTTCCCTCTGCGGCTTTTGGTTGGGCCCAGTCTGACTCGACCGGGATCACGCTTTGGCAAAAAACTGCTGCACTGTCGCACTTAAGGTCTTCTACAGCATTCTGTAGCCTCAAGCTGCAGTTCTAGTTGGCTGCCTATCTCTTTCTGTACATTGTTTGCAAACCTGTAGAAAGCAATGGACAGTGTTTCAGGCTTCGGCAAAAGACGAATCAACCAACGTAGGTGTCACGGCCATAGTTTAGACAGCCTGGAGTTTAAACAGTTTGGGAGAGCCATGCATCTCCACTTGAGTGTTCGAAGTGCTTGCTTTTTTCGCCGGCTTCTGGAAGCTCTCCTTCCTGTCCTAACTCGCGCTTTCCAAAGATCACCCCAGGTTCCTGGGCCCAGGCTTTGCGCAGATCCTCCGCAGCAGCGCCGATGTACATAAAGGGCCCATGGTGCCCTGCCACTCCGGGACGGGGGCTTCAGAGGGGGGTTCAGAGGCATGGTTTGGGCTCGGATGCGGTGAGCTCCGAATCTCTCGGCCAGATCCGATAGTCACCTTATGATCTTGCGAGGCTTTGCAGCTGATGGTGTGCGTTCCTCACCGACATGAGAACATGATTTTGCTGTCGCGCTTCCTTGCTGGAACATGCGCCCGGCACGCCGCAGCCTTGACTTTGGGCAATAAGAGCCAAGAGCGGCATATATGTCACAAGAGCTAGACATGACCAAAACTTCCCACACAGAAGCCTTCCGATGCAAGGGCCAGGACACTCGACACACTCAGAGCATGAGCCGCTTATCCCACTCCAAGCTGTGCAAGTGCCACTGAACTCGGAACTAACTCCAGCTTGGCCACATCTTGAACACGATGAAATTCTCGAAGCTTCTGGATGAGTATCAGCTCCCGGAGTGGCGGGGGCCGAGGCCTCAGGCCTTCCTGTCGCTTCGTGAAGGGTCAGAAAGGATTTTTGAGAGCTGAGGACCTACATACCTTATTACTTTCTCAAGAAGCCCGGCCCCAAGTGTGCAGACGTGTCGGTGTAGGAATGTTGGCTTGCCAGTTTCTGCAGCCTCACTTCTGTCCTGGGACGAGAGAGTAGTGCTTGTTGCAGCCAGGCGCCTCGAAGACATCGCTGCGGGGCGATGCAACGATGCGTTGCGGGAGCTGCCCGGAGCTTGGCTGTAGTTGGAGAGTTCGATGATGTTGAATGCTTGCATGGGCCTTGTGCCGCTGGGCTGCTTTGGGTGTGATGGCGACATAGTGTCACGAGAACAATCATAATGCCATCATCATTGTTACCTGCGCCAGCATACTCTACCGACCAAGACGACGGTGATCTACATAGCTGATCACAATCAGATGTGGTGATATCACGGTCATACTGCCGATGATTGTGATGATGACGATGATGATATCGTCGACACTCACTGGACCGGGCGGCACTCCAAGTGGGTCGGGTTTGGTTTGCTGGGGGAGATCACTCAGTACGACCCGAGGCGTCTTCTGCCCGTTTGTGTTTCTGGCTGTGGCCTCCAGTGTAGAGCGCCTGATCTCAAACTATGCTTGGCAGCTAAGCTTCGCCCCTTTTTGAAGGGATCCAGTATGGCCAGTGTTACTTTCATTCTGGAATCCCACGCCGCTTTTTCAGCTGCATGCGGAGTGAGAAGGAAAGGAGAGGCCCGAAGCTTAAGCACAATTACCGAGAGCAGCAGCAGCAGCAGTAGTACTTTGAAGCAGGTCCACAAGGACACAAAGTGGGGACCTCAGACGTGCAGGAGTCGTCCAGCAATGACACGTTCTTTCTTACGGGCAGCGTTCGAGAGGGGTAGCTTGGTGCTTCCGTTCCAATTTCTTGGCGGTGGTGTGCACGGGGATGCGCTTACGGGCCACAACCCGTCAGCGAGCAGGGATTGCAGGGTGAGGGCCAGGCCATTTGACAAGTTTTGAGGCGCCTTCCAAGTTCTATCGGTTCTCGTGCGTGGATATGCACCAACACGGAACACCTGATTGCGCACACGTCTTGCTGTTGATGTGCGACAGTGTGAGCATACAGTTCCAATATCTGCTTGAAGCTGCGTCCGTCGTCATCTGCGTAAGCCTTTCATCGCCTTGCCTTTCAGAGAGTGTAAGCTTGCAACATTAATTAAACTGTGCTAAGTCTGCGAGCAGACGCATTGCAACGCAAATTAGGTTGAGAGCATCTCATGTCCACGTCGTCCGACGCTTTTAACTCGACATCGCAGCAATCGAAACTGTGTGGCGAGGTGTCTCCCGCACCACTTCAGAACGACTGCCGCCGGCCACGCCACCGCCCAATCCTCAACCTCTTGGGTCTCTTGGGTGATTTCGCTTCATGAAGACACAGGAGGCAACTGCCGAAATAAGGCTCAGTGGTAGTTTTTGGTTTGTGGGGTTCTGAGTCGTCACAGGACTACGTTTGCAATGGAGCCCGGCACCACGCCCAAGCTAATCGACGCGGACTTGGCTATGGAGGCACAACACGTCTGATTCCGTGAGACGGGATGTGCTACAAGTAACTTCCATTGCGTCAGGCATGGTCGGCGGCCCTGACCAAGGAGGCTCTTTACATGGGTCACGACGGGTCAAGATACTGCGGCCAGTGTACATGGCATCTCGGGTTTCATAATCAGCTTTATGGGTGGGGTTGTGTTTGGGGAAGTGATGGAGAAGATGTCATCTCATCTCTGAGTCTGTCATCTTTCGCAACCTACGATCCTCTATGGGAGTTTTCCCGAAGAAGCAAAGGGGATCCCGGGGCTTCTGTCCCGGCCCGTACGACAACTTCTCGATGTTGTGGTGGGTGGCTGGTGGCACGAATTCAATGCTCTTGGCTATAGTGACCCAACGAAGCTCCCAAGAACAGACATGATAAATCTCACGCGGCCTGCCCAGCATTCTTGAGGTGCAGCGTGTGAACGCCAACGTCAGGCGAGGGCTGCAGGCACGTAATGCAAAGCCATTGCAGTCGCGCTGGAGATGGTTCAGTGAAAAAATGCTCTACATGTGTTTTGACTGGGGTTTTCTAGTTCTCTTACCTTGACCATTGTGCAAAAAGGTAAGAACCTGGAAGAAACAACAGTGAACTACCATGAACTACCCTTTGTGTTGTCCCAGGAGCTGGAGACACAGTTCCTAGACCTGATGCAGCTCTCACAGCAGGGCCCTGCATTCGTGTTTCGATCGACAAGCAGAGCTTACGTCGCTGTTTGCATGTCAGAACCACGAGTGCCTATATGTCCCTGCTTGTATGTGTTGCCTCTCAGAGAACCACATGCAGCACGACCAACATAACATCGCCGGAGGAAGACTCTCCTGTGTGCAGGTGTCGACCCTACCCCCATAGACCCTCATCCCATAGACCCTCATAGACCCTCTATACTTCAGCCCAGCGGAAAGCAGAAGCCGAGCTCTGGAGGGCCATGGCTCTGATCAGACTCTGGCCTTGCGAAGGCTGGCGCTGAGGAGATGCCGCCAAAGGTACCGGTGCCCAACAAGAACACAGTGCCACCTGCTAGACCTCAGACCCCTGCGACCCCACAAGGGAAGAATGCCAGGGCCAAGGGGAATGCGGAGAAACCTGAGGCCAAGTCCAAAGCCGCACCTCAAAGAAAGACGAGTACAGCGGGCAAAGGTCGAGGCAACAGCAAAAACCCGAAGGGGAAGGTTGCAGTTGTCGAAACTGTGGAAGTGGATACCATCGAGGTGGAGCCAAAGAACGTAACGAAGTCCGTGCAAGTCAGAGGGATCGAGGTCACTTCCGGACAGAACCTTCCTCGTAAGCTGCTTGAGAAGTTAGTGGACCTGCCCTTCGTCGCTGGATACTCGAAACTCAGCCTTCAGCGGGTCTCCTACAGCACAAAGCCGCCGGAGAAATTGCAGCCTTCGCCATCGATCCGTTCGTCACCATCCTTGAGCCCGGGTCGATCCCAAACCAAGGGGTCTGAGCGTGGCATGAAGTCGGAGCCTGCATCTCCGACGCTGGCGCAGTTCCTGCAGGCACAGGCCCAGGGCCAGGATGAACAGGAGGACGATGATGTGATGCTGCTGATCGCCGTGGCCTGTGGTGCAGAACCATCGAAGCCTTGCCTCCTACGTGTTGGGCCCAGAGAGCTTCTCCAGGAGGAGGCGGAGTGGGTCCCATACTTCCGTGAAGCCTACGGCCCATGGTGCCCCGGAGAAGCCCAAATGTCAGAAACCAATTGGCTGCACGACATCATGCATTTACCACTTGCAGGTGGTTGCTGCGTGCTACCGGCCATTGCAAACCTTGGGGCTCCCAGTGACGTCAGGAGCTTCTCAAGGCAGTTCGGCGAAGCTCTGTCAGACATGGACGGGACTGCGGCCAGCTCGGCCCTGACTGCCAGCGAGCTGGTCTGCAGCTGGATCCTGGCTCAACCCTTCGACGTCTGTGAGGAGGACACTCTGAACCTGGCACAGGTTTTCAACAACGTCGACAACATGATCATGGGCCACACGCACCCCCATCTTGGTGTGGAGTACTACGATGGTATGGGCTCTGATCTTGTTGAGAGCCAGCTTGGCGGACCTACAACCGACGGTGTCGCGATGACGGAGCTGACCAAAATTGTTTCGGATCTCATTCCCGGCATGAAGCAAACTCGGCCATCGCAATTTCTGACATGGTTCCATGGCCAAATGCCGAGCACGGGGTCCAAATGGAATCTGGCTGCTTGGTACTCCAAGAGCACTGCGCCCATCGACTTCGACTGCATCCTGCAGGATGCGAACGGACAAGCATGGCCTCTAGGATCCCTTTCGTGGCCTTGTGTCTTTGTCAGTCTATGGCAGGTCTTTCTGTGGCCTCCTGAATCTGTGTAGCTAAGGCTGTCTGTATGCAGTGCGAACTCGTCGATGCCGCGGTTTGTCACAATGCCACCTGCTGAGAACGACGCTCGATGCCGTCACGTTTTTGCGCGTCTGGCTCATTGGCTGCTGTTGCCTGGCCTCAAGATGGGTGAATGCATTGGCCACTGCCTGGTCATTACTGGCTGATCGTCTAGACTACCTGACTACTCTTCTCTTGCTGCCTGACACAAGTGTTTATTGCTTTACGTTCCCTCCCTCGCGCCCCGCTCCCCTCCCTCCCTCGGTCCTCTCCTGCTCGCCCTCCCTCCCCCCTCTCCTCTCTCCCTCTGCCTCACTTTCTCTTCCACCTGTCTCTCCTTCTGTTGCCCCTGCTCTCTCTGTCGTAGACTCAGGCTCGTTGCAGAACTAAATACAGTCACCCCTTCATTCAACACAGCATTAACCATCGAGCCGTCGGTCGTTGTTCCAGGTTCTAGATAGCAGCGAAACGACAACGGCTTTGGAAGATTGTAGGACATACATGTCTCTCTTCGAGATGTGTTCCAGCTTCGGGCAGGACAGTCGGCATCCCCGTGTTAAAACCCGTGCATTCACGCACCGGATGACTGCATCTCCTGTCACTTTACTCTCTTTCCGTCACCCCTCTCTTTCCCGCAGTGCTGCTGCTTCTGGTGACTATCAGGTCAGGAGTATTGCTGTTCGCACCTCTGGAAACTGCAGCGGATCAGAAGCATCTGCGCGAGTTGTGTATGGTTTTGGCAAGCTCCTTGGCATGCAAAGTGGTCGCCATCCGCCCATGCCAGTGCAGTGATTTGACGAATCGGTTGCTACTTCGCATGTTCAAGGCATCCCCGAAGACAACATCGACCATTTGGCGCCCCCCGCACCACCTGCGGAGGCGAGCTTACATGTCCGTTTTGTGTGGTCCTTCGCGCGCCGGGTCTGCCGATGTTTGCGCTGGCACACTACACTGAAACGTACTTCTTCCAGTGGAAAGCCTGTTGTTTTGGGGAAGCCTGGCCTTCAGATGCTTTGGGCTTTGCTCGACACTGCTATTGAGATGGTACCATCGGCACGCACACGCTTCTTTCCTGAGCGCAAGCGGCTGGCTCTGTGGGCCAGCGTGTGCTTTGCAGCGAGGCTAGGTGTGGTGTCTGGCAAGATCGAGGAGCCAAGCTGGCTTTCAGACAGGTACAAGCTGTGGCGTGCACCAGAGGATGGGGGGCTGGACAGCGAAGGGGCAGCGGCACAAGTGCACATGATCCGCTTCGGACTGGATGAATGCTGGTCAACAGATCCTGTCACGAAGCAGCTCAGATCCATCCATGCAGACGACTTGCCCTGGGAGATCTTGGGAGACAAGGCTCCAAGCGCACCCAAGGGCGAAGGCCCCGAAAGCGCAGGGCCGACGGCGCCCACGGAAGAGCACCTGCCGGAGGATGCAAAGACCGAGGACGCCGCAGCTTCGGATTTTCCAGACCCTGAACAGCCTGGGGACCCGAAGAAGGAAGCACCCAAGACGATGCAGGCTTTAGAAAGCACCATGGGCTACTTGGTGCGGAAGGAGTTGGAGCAAAAGAGAAGGCTGGTCATCACAGGTGGCCTTGGTGCTGGAAAGAGGTCGATCTCCGCGGGCATTATGGCAGAGCTGGTGACCTCACAGGTGTGGCACCAGGATATCTTCCGCTTTCCTGTGCGCATGTCCATGGAGGAACTGTCGCAGCACGTGAAAGCCACCGATGCTCTGCAGCAGCACTTCGCCTCGTGCCGGCACCTGGCACCGGCCAGTGCCTGGGAGCGGGCCAAGGCACCTCCCTGGGCTGCTCGCTCAGGCCACCAGGTCGTGCGTGAGAAGAATCGCATCTTCGTCATTGGCGGGTACAGCACGGAGAAGCTGAAGCCGTTGCAGGACGCCTGGGTGTCGCAGGATAATGGCCAGACGTGGGAAGAGCTGCCCACGCCTGTATGGCCAGCACGCAGTGGTCACCAGGTTGTTTGCTGGGAGGATAAGCTGATTCTGCTGGGAGGTGTCGGGGATGAGGATCGGCGCCTCCGTGATGGCTGGCAGTCCTCGGATCAAGGTGAGACCTGGCAGGAGCTTCCCTGTCCAATGTGGTCTGCTCGATACGGCCACCGGGCAGTGGTGGTGCCTCTGCAAGTGAAGGAGGTGCCCACGCCTCACCTAGTGCTGATGGGTGGCAATGCTGTCGGCAACAAGGCCTGCAGGGATGTTTGGGCCTCGGATTCGGGTGGCTTCTCATGGTTTGAGCTGGACCCCCTTCCGTGCAGCCCTCGCTGGAATTTCGCTTTGACCCAGTTCCGCGACGAGATCTGGATAACTGGCGGTGCGGATGAGCAGCATTCCTTCAACGATTGCTGGATCATGACCCACGAAGTCTGGCCAAGCAAAGCTGCTGGGGGCGGCGCCGGTAGCGGTGGCAGAAGGAAGTCTAACATGACAGTAGGGGAGCCGCAGGAGTCTCCCTGGAAGCACTTCCAGGGAGCCCCTTGGTCTGAGCGATCACTTCATCAGGTGGGCTGCAGCATTTTTGCGTCAAGGGTGCAGATCCTTTTTTGAAAGCTTGTCGGTTTGTGAGGTGATGCCCTTCAGGGGGCAGCTGGCTGTCTTTGGTGGCGTGACAAGTAGCGGCCAAGCCCGGGTGCCTGGAATTCTAAGCAGTGTTTCGCAAGCCTGCTCCAGCAAGTCAGTAAGTCCCGATCTTCTTGCCCAAAGCTCCAAAACAGGCCCAGCAGCATTCAGACGACGGCGCGTGCTCTCCATTCCTTATCCCCGCAGCTCCACACCCTTCCATATCATCACTGTCATCATCTTCATCATCTCCATCATCTTCATCATCTTCATCATCTCCATCATCCCCATCAACATCATCTTCATAATCTTCATCACCCTCATCATCTCCATCATCTCCATCATCTCCATCATCTTCATCATCTCCATCATCTTCATCATCTTCATCATCTCCATCATCTTCATCATACCCATCATCTTCATCATTCCCATCATCTCCATCATCTCCATCATCCTCATCATCCTCATCATCTCCATCATCCCCATCATCCTCATCATCTCCACCATCTTCATCATCATCATCATCATCGTCCTCACCCTCATCATCTCCATCATCTCCATCATCTCCATCATCTTCATCATCTTAATCATCTCCATCATCTCCATCATCCTCATCATCTCCATCATCTCCATCATCTCCATCATCTCCATCATCTTCATCATCTCCATCATCCCCATCAACATCATCTTCATCATCTTCATCACCC